GTGAGAGGCTGGCCACAGAAAGGCTTTTTTGTGTAATTATTTATTCCTATTGTGCTCAGGGAAACAGGACTTTATATGCATTTTTGTTAATAAATCAGATTGAACTGTTTAAAGAATAGACATGAAAAACCACATACCACTGTAACAGTGGTTCTTAGAATGCATATGTGAAAAATGAAGGAATAACATAAACAGTTACTGCAATAGCTTGTAATATAGCAAATAAATTGCAGTAGCAACATAAAATGAAAAGTTACTGTTTACAAAGCTTTCACTTTTATGACCACGACTCTTGGATTTGATTGCTGTTTTATCACTGTGACTTTTGGTGTGCTGAGATAGAAAGACAGCACATGCCTAGTCTGTCAAATAACCTTCCATGCCCTTTCCACAGCTATGGCACCATACAAACAGCACCCAAGATGCTGTCAGCCATCTCTGAAATCCAAGTCTTTTGCTAAAACGCAGACATGTTTCAAGGTTAATGCCTCTCACTACAATAAAGACACTGAGGTCCTCAACTGTGTCCAGAGAAGGAGAACAGTGCTCTGAAGGGTCTGGAGCACAAGTCTTATGAGAACAGCTGAGGAAACTGGGATAGTTTAATCTGGAGAAGAGGGTGCTCAGGGGAGACCTCATCACTCTCTACAACTACCTGAAAGGAGGCTGTGTTGAGGTGGAGGTTGGCCTCTTCTCCTATGTAACCAGAAATAGGACAAGAGGGAATGGCTTCAGGTTGCACCAGGAGAGATTCAGGTTGGACATTAGGAGAAATTTCTTCTCTGAAAGAGTGGCCAGGCACTGGAACAGGCTGCCCAGGGAGGTGATGGCGTCACCATCCCTGGAGGTGTGCAAGGAATGTCCAGATGTTGTAGTGAGGGACCTGGTTCAGTGGGAAATATTGGTGATAGGTGGATGGTTGGACTGGTGATCTTGGAGGTCTTTTCCAGCCTTGGTGATTCTGTGATGCAATGGCAAATCACTCTACATCCTCCCTGCAAAGTTTTATTAAATGTCTTAACTTGCTTGCCAAGAGTTTGCATGCAGTTTATACAGCCATAACATTCCTCTAACACCCAAAATTCCATCCACTCCTGTTCCCAGACTGACAAATCTTTTGCACTTAGGAATGCTGCTTTTTTGCAGCTTTTCTCTCCCCCATCCAGGCTACCTTCAACAGAGATTTTGCACCTCGCAGTAAATTATCTAAATTTAGCATTTTTCGCCTCACAAGACAAAAGAAAACAAAACACAATTTTCCATTTGAAGAAAAGATCTACAATAGAAACAGACATTACATTCCAATTTAGATTTTTATTTATTTATTTATTTTTTCCCACGAGGTATTACATTTTCTGTGGGGAAATTCACACAATAAATTTTTATTTATGAAACTTTTCTTCGAAAGCTGAATTTTTTGAAACTTCATTTTCCAAAAAGTTTGCCGTGCATGTTTTTACATGCCTATTCTCAAGTTCTTTTTAAAAACTTTTCATATAGTATAAATCAAACCTTTCACTGAAAGTTTTCTTTTAAGTTTCACCTGTGTCAGCATGTTTCTGAGTCATTTTTCAGGGTGTCCATCAGGACTGATGGAACAAAATTCCACGTGAAATTCCTGATCCACTTTCCCCTTCCCCTATGTGACAGAAGCTTTCCAAAGTGATTTTGCAACACAGCTATCAAAACACTTTCCAAAAGAAGTTGTTCCTTTCTAAAAATGCTGTGGTCATGACCACATTCTTCAAAGTTATGTTTCAAAAGTTAAAATTTCCAAGTCGACAAAAAACACAATTCTAAAATTTAATTATAACTTGGCATATTAGGATGGTAAGCATTTGCAGAGCTGTTTGCTCACTGCTGAGTCTAATATTCGATGGAGTAACAGTGAGAACCATGCACAAAAGCATTTACAATGACTGTGTTCTCTGTGTGTTTCTGTATCTCATAATACTGAAATTCTGACTCAGTTCTGTCTGAAATACAAATAACAACTATAATCATATTATCCTTTTAAAAATACTTCAAATCACTGTGATTACACCAAATATTTAGAGCAGCATGCCTATCAAAACGCCTACAATGTCAGAAATCAAACTAGCAAAATACCACGCAATCTGAAACAATTACTGCACATCTATTGTATTAACAAGCTCTGGAAAAACATCAGTGAAGTTTTGGCTGTTCAGAAACCAGGCACCTGCAAAATGTGCCCTTGGCAAACACACTGAGATGTAGCACGCTTCTTTAACTTCTGACATCAGAGATGTTTTGAAAACTTCTTACAGTAGTGCACTACCTATTATAAACAGCACCGCAGTATAAAGAAAACACCACAGCTATAGTTGCCTTGGCAAAACATAAGAAGAACAAGCAACTACACTGTGTATGCCTAACGAAGAGCTTAATATAGAGTAATTAAAAAAAGCAATCACAGCACAGCTCTTAACACTGATCTGTCTTAATCTATTTTTAACATTTGTCAAGCATCTGACACTGTCAGCATGAGCAATTTGTGCATGCAACCAAGAGACCAGATTTTTTTTTGAGGAATGGAGGAAATCCTTCAGTAGCGAGCAGTGGGCCATGCAGTATGTATTCAGAAAGAATAAAATGCCTATTTCTGGACACCCAGCGCCACTTACACATTCCTCAGAGAAGGAAGTGCCTCAGGAAAGGCTTTTGCAATTTTGTTTCCCTTGCTGGAACTTAATGGAAATATCACAGGGGTGTAATTTCAGAAACATTTAACTGAATTTTACATGCAACATGTTATCAAACATATTATCAAAACCAAGTGCTGCAAAACAAGCAGACCACCTCAACTTATTCTAAATCACTGTATTTGTGCAGAGCATTAGGAATAAAGTAACTTGCTCTTTGCTTGTTTATCTTTTATGATCAGCTTTCTATTTTCTACAATAATTTTTCTATTTGCACGCAGGGGAAATAAGCAACCATGTCATTTTAAAACTACTAGCAATTTGACCTCCCAAACCAGTAACATGCACTTACCCTTCTGTGCTCTCTTTGTATCTTAGCAGCGGACCAGGTCTGCAGTTTGACTCTGAGCTACAAGATAAAAGACATTTAGTTCAAGCATTTTGTTTCCAAGCTGAGAAGCTACACGAAAGCTTCAGTGTTGCTTTGCTAGCGTGACCTTAGCATAGTGAGTCTGATCACTGCAGTTTGTCTTTTAGGAGAGACTATTTCGTTACACATAGCAGATGGCTCTTCCTGGGAAAACCTCTGCCAGAGGCAGAGCGCGAGCTGGCAGCGAGGAGGGCAGATCCTGCTTCACAGAGGGCAACCAGCATTTCCTCGTGGCCCTGGGAGAGAGGAAGTATTGGCCTTAGGTTTTTCATAATAAGGCTCTGGGCTCACTTTTAAAGCACATGCTTCAGAGTACTTAACTTCTTTGCTCGGCATGGCTGAAATTTCTGACCTGCTTGAAGTTGAGCAAGCAAATGTTCTGCCAAATGCTGAGAAAACCTGAACAATTATCCCCAACAAATAGGCTAAGGGGGGCCATAGTGAAAACTGAACTTTTAAAATTAATAAACACACACAAAAAAAATCACCTAACAATTCACATTTCTCAAAGGCAGCGATTATCCAGTGCATACCTAAATGAACTGTGAAGTGAAAAAGGTGATCCCATGTCAAGAAGCCAGCACTCATACAGGAGGAATGCATATTAATTGCTCACAGGGCTCTGAGCTCACAGAGTGCAGAAAAATCTGAACAACCAGTTCAGTGCTGTGTTCTTTCCTGATGGTTTGCAGAAAAAACAGCCGAAATGCTGATTGTTGAACACAATTGCTGAACACTTCTCACTCCCAGTGCTCTTCAGAATGGGGGTGATGGCCAGAAAACTATTCAGCAAAATCCAGAGCATGTAGAGCCACCCCCCTCCAGAGAGCAGCAAGGATATCTGTGATTTATTTCATTATTTTGTGATCCAACAGTCCAAATAGTCCCCAAAGAATTGAGCTACCAGGATTTGGAACTGCCTTCCAGCTGACAACTGCTTGTCACTGTGTGGAGATGCACAACAAGGACAGCATGCAGCCTAGGGTGGGTGCGGGAACCAAATTCACCATCCCATCTGTACCCACGTAGCACACATACATATGTTTTTTCCGCATCTAACCTGGGAGAAACACTTGGTTAACTTCACAGGACAACACCACCCAGTGCAGCTCTTCCATGTCGAACTGCACACATCGGTCCTTGAAGGCACTGGGCCCCGGATGCCCACGGCAGACGCTCGCTGTTGCCTGCTCTGCAGCGTGCTCTGCCTTAGGCTGGGCAGCGGGCACAGCGAGCTCATGGGCTGCTGCCAACCCTGTGCATACTGCAGGAATAGGGGCAGTCACATTTTGACGGAACCACAGAACGGCTTGGGTTGGAAGGGACCTCAAAAACCATCTAGATCCAAGCCATGTGGCTGACTGACATATTGAGCCCAGGGCCCATCCAGCTCGGCTGTGAACTCTTTGATATAACAGCAGGACAAGGGGAAATGGTTTGAAGTTGAGGGAGGGAAGATATAGGTTGGATGTGAGGGGGAAGTTGTTTGCTGTGAGAGCAGTGAGGTGCTGGAACAGCTGCCCAAAGAGGCTGTGGATGCCCCATCCATCCCTGGAGGTGTTCAAGGCCAGGTTGGATGGGGCCCTGGGCAGCCTGGGCTGCTATGAAATGTGGAGGTTGGTGGCCCTGCATGTGGCAGGGGGTTGGAGATTCATGATCCTTGAGGTCCCTTCCAACCCGGGCCATTCTGTGATTCTGTGAACGCCTGCAGGGATGGACGCCTGGTGCAGCGGCAGCAGCAGCTCTCCGCCCTCCCTGCGGGAAGCTTCCCAGCCCCAGCATCGCCCTCAGCCCCGCTCCGCCCGCCGGGCGCGCAGCTCGCCGTGCCCCCCCGCTCCGGTGCGGCTGCGCCGGTCGCGTCCTTCCGGGCGGGAGCGCCGCCCCAGGCGGGCCGTGGCTGGCGGCGGGCGGCAGCGAGACGATGTCGGAACCGCCGCGCAGCCCGCCGGGCTCCCTGCCCCTCAGCCGCCTGGCGGAGCCGCTGCTGCGGAGGCTGAGCGAGCTGCTGGACCGCGCGGCGCCCGGCAAGGGCTGGCGGGAGCTGGCGCAGCGCGCGGGGAGCCGCGGCCGCGTCCGGCTGAGGTGAGGGGGGGCGGGGAGCGGAGGGGCGACGTGAGGCCGGGCCTCGCGGCGGGGCAGCCCGGCGCCGGCTGCCGTCTCGGGGCCGCGAGGAGGCGGGCGGCCGTGCGGCCTGCTGGGCGCAGCCGGAGTGCGGCCCCGGGCGGCCTTCCGTGTGCCGCTCCCGTGTCCTGCAGGCTGAACGCGGTCGACTAATTCGGCTTTTCCTTCGTAGATCGCTTTCTGTACGTCGCTTCCTGCTCGCGTTACTTTCTGTGCCTTCTCCGGGTCTTGCCCAGGGAGCGTTGACGGCCTGTGTGGTTCCTTTGTAGGGCCGTGGCTGTCATTCTTTACCTGTGTTATCCGCCGAAGTACGGTGGTGTTCTTGTGATAAGCCTGAGCGTCTTGCCTGCAGCTCTGTGCGGCACTGTGAGTTCATAAAGGAAGCACTGATGGTCCGCAGTCTCCCCACGCCCTTGCTGTCTGTGTTTCTTTAACCTGGTGTGATTGAAAGCACGTGAAGCATTAAAACCGAAGCCCCGAAGTGTGAAAGTTTATACCTGGGAATAAATCATAGAACCACAGAATGGCCTGGGTTGAAAAGAACCACGGTGATCATCTGGTTCCAACCCCCTGCTATGTGCAGGGTCACCAACCAGCAGACCAGGCTGCCCAGAGCCACATCCAGCCTGGCCTTGAGTGCCTGCAGGGATGGGGCATCCACAGCCTCCTTGGGCAACCTGGAAATGCACAGAACTGCTAGGAGGCTGCAGCAGTCATTGATCTTGGCATCTCAGTCTTCTTGGGCTTTCCTGACTCAATCCTTACTGCTTCTGAACCAGGCAGGTGAAAATGAAAGGTGCTGCGCTTGTTTTTCTATTCAGACGTTGAAATGTGAGAACTAGATTTCTCAATACGTTTGGTAGAATTGTTAAGTTCAAGCACCCTTGTTTCCCTAGCACGCGGCTCATTAATACTAATTTCTGTCTGTTGAAATGCTGCTTTGTAATGTCTGGGCTTCTGAAACTTGAAGGAAATACTTTGAATGCATTCAAATCAGCTAAGACATTCCTTTCTCTCTCTATATATATATTTTTTATCTTTTCAACTCAACTCGATTTTTCAGAAAGAGCATTGAGAAGTTCTATGCCTTGTTTTATTTTGCAGCCCCCTGGATTTAGAACAGTGTTCCCTCAAAGTTCTGGAGCCAGAAGGAAGCCCAAGCTGGAGCCTCTTAAAGCTGCTGGGTGACAGGGGCTGCACGGTAGTGGAGCTGGTGGAATTCCTGCAGGCCATGGAGCACACAGAGGCTCTCCAGTGTCTCAGCTATTCAGGTCAGCTCTGGTTTGTATTTCCACTGTAACCAGGCTTTCTGCACTAGAAATACTGAAGTATTCATTTCTACAGTAAAAGCATTGTTAGCAGTTGAATTCTAGTAACTGGTATTTGTTGGTATGATTCTGAGATTAAAAATAGGTCAAGCAGATAAGCAGGCTTAATGCAGTATTGTTGTAGGCTTGGACTTGGCTGCATGAGTATGACAGGTGCTGTCATTCTCTCTGCTAACTTGTGTTCTGTATTCAGCTCTGCCTTTGGGAGATGTTTACAGAACAGAAGTAGCTGGGTTAGAAAGACCAGTAGCTTTGCCAGCCATTTGTTCAGGCTACAGTTTTTATGAACTGCATTTCATAGCTTACCCTAATTGAAAGGGAAGTGTTCAATTAGCACCAGTTCTAGTGCACCTTGAATTCATTCCAGCTTCCTAATTGGACAGCAAAACAAAGTAGCAAAGGACTAGATTATTTTCTGCTGTCTAATGCATTCAGCTTGCTTCTTCATTGAAAGTTCAGAGATGTGGGCAATGCAAGGGCATGCACAGTAGAAATGCAGACCAAATTCTTCTTGCTCTGGTTTTAGACTGTGCCCCTTTCTTATGTCATCTTTGAAGATATGGTGAAATTCAGTCACCTGGAAGTTAGAACAGTTTCTCTTGAAAATGGGGAGTGGGAATGTGCAAGTGTAGAGTCTTGCACATGGGAACAAATAACTGCAAGTATCTGTACATGACCTGTTGGAGAGGAGTTCTGTGGGGAAGGACCTGGGGGTCCTGGCAGACAACAGGCTTACCATGAGCCAGTAGTGTGCCCTGGTGCCCAAGAAGGCTAATGGGATCCTGGAGTGTATTAAAAGGCCAGCAGATCAAGGGAGGTGATCCTCCCGCTCTACTCTGCCCTGGTCAGGCCTCACCTGGAGTACTGCATCCAGTTCTGGGCTCTTTGGTACAAAAAAGACAGGGATCTCCTGGAAAGAGTCTGAGAGAGGGCCATGAAGAAGATAAAGGGCCTGGAACATCTCCCCTAGAAGGTGTTCTACACTAACATGAAAAGGAACTTCTTCACAGTGAGGGTGATGGCTTGGCAGGGAGGAGGGGAGTCGGTGTCATATCACTGAGGCTGGATTGTGCTTCTAAGAGGCAAGAGTTTATCTGTGGAGATGTTCAGTGGTAGTATGTTGTCTTGTATATGGTGGTTGGTGGAGAGAACTGAAAGCAAAGAATATTACTGACTCAGGTTTGTACTAAAATGTGCCTGCACTGAGCCAAACACTGTGCTTGGTTGACCTGTAATCTCTCCATGGTTGAGTTTGCAGGTCTTTATGTAGCTGTCTGTTATGTCATATTCTGGGTGTTAGTGCATAGATAGCTAAGGTACCTTGTGTGGAGGAGAATGAGCCAGTAAGACTTGCCAAAACCTCCCTGAAAGGCAGGGATAGTCTGTCTTGTTGTAAGTTTATCTCTTTGAGGCATGATGGAATGAACTATGCCTGCTTTAGGGAGGGCTGGATAGCTTAGAGAGAGAGAGAGAGAAGTTGGAACCAGGAGAAAGCAAAGCAAAAGGTATTTAAAGGGAGTTTAATTCTAAGACTTTCTGAACTATTCAAAAAGAAGTAGTAGGCTTTAACAGTTGCAGTGAGTGTATTTAAATATTCAGTGTGATACACTTGAAATTAAAATACATGTTCAGAACTACTCATTTGTTTTAGTAAACCAAAAAGAGTTTGAACGTTGCTTTAGGATAGGGTTGTTTAATAAAGACCTTTATGGCTGTCTTATTGGTTTTTAGACCATTTTCTAGCAGCTTAGTTTATGCAATTAAAGACCCAAGCATTTATGAGCTTTTGAATATACTGTTGTAATACTGATATGTCAGTGCTTCTACTTCAGTGTTTCTTTGGCACAGACACTGTTATAAGCTGAAACATTATTTTGCAGCTACAGAAGGAACCTCTAAGAGTCATAGACACTCACAACCAAGACCCAGATCTTCTTTATCTCTCTGAGTTTACAGACTTGTCTGCTGCTTTGTATTAACTCTGGACAATGTTATTCCTCTTAACATGCAAAATTGTAATAACTTTTAAACTTCTTTTTGGTAATGAGAAGGCCATAGCATCCTATTCCTATGTGTGTCAGTGTATCATTCAGAAAATTGAGTCAGAAAGTTTTCTTTTTAAGCCATTACATTTTTTAGTGTTTGCGGGAAGTAGCTATGTAATATGTGAATGGCAGGAAAATAATGAAACAGTGTAGACGTTATGAGTCAGTTTTCTTAGAACTTGGTTGTAACACCTCCAAGGAGTACAAGATGCCGGTCTTCCAGATGATTTGTTTTTCTCAAATATTTCAAGAGATGTCAATGATGAAAATCAGGAGAGATTATAAAGAATAAAAGTGCAAATCTTCTGTCCCTTGAATTGACATTACAAACTTCCTGTTTGCCTTGTTTAATATTGGTGCTTGTGATGCTCAAGGCTACTTGAAATGTTCTCTTTGACTCAGAAAAACAGCAGAGGAAGTATTAAATGAGAAATCTGAAGTATCAATCTCCAGAGCTAGGCTGTAGGTGGAAGTTGTTTTAGAAGACAGGCAAGGAATTTTCAAATCTTGTGCCTAGGCTGGAGTAGCCCCCAGTGTTGTCAACTGTTTCAGAATCAGGTTGTGTATGGAGACACTAACAGAGCCCACTTCCCTGCTAGACAGAGACCACATGATTTCCATATGCTGTGGTCTCTGTTTCAGTCTGTTGATCTTTTGTGTTTCTGCTGAAGTTTTAACCTGTTGATCAAATTGATATGATTTCTTCCTCAAGTACTTTCTGTTAGGACAAAATTCTGATGTGCAACTAAACTGTTAAATGGGAGTGCTGGGGAATGCAAAGAGAACTCCTGGTGTGACACAGTAAGAAGGCTTGGAGCAAATTACAGTCCTGAGCTGAGATATTTGTGATCTCTTTGGAGCTATTTTTGCATGCTATTTCTGTTTACTTCACATTATTCTCTAAGATTATTTGCCCGATAAACTGGAATGCTGTTGCTGTACCAGGCTATGCTTTCAGCTTCTGCAAAGCACATTAATTAAATGATAATGAAGGAACCTGCTTTCTCCCAAAATAGGGAAAGAGACCAACTCCTAAAGAAAATCAAATCTAGTATGAGTACCTATTTTGTATGTGATTCTTTATTTCAGAGAATAATGAGAAGGTAGTGAAGTGGTTTTGTATCATTTGCTATTTCTGTATTTTCCTATAACCAGTGTTGCAGCGACTTGTCATCAGCATGTGTTATTTCCTACGGTCCCACTGTGTTTGTTGCATGCATGCACCATCCATAATAATGGAAAAAAAATCATTAGACTGAAGCATTGACATCTCAGCACTGCTGAGCACCATGCCCAGAAGCTCATGCATTCTTTATCAGCACTGTGAGGTTAAACTCTGCAGATGACTTTTTTTTGCTCCCCCCTCCCCTTTCTTCTTCCTATGACCTTGGTTGTAACAGCAGATCTGTTGTGGGGGTTGTGCTGTAATTAGATCTCTGTACTGGTCTAGGTTAAGAAAACAACTGGATCATATCAGACTGTTATCAGAATTTCACTCACACTATTTCCTGGCAGTTAAAATCTGAAGTGGAAAATTTTACCTTGCACACTGTTAAAAGAAAACCCCCGCCCTGTGATCTACAGGAGCAAAACCCATAGAGGAAGCTGTTGTTGTCTAATAAGCTGCATGAGCAATAGTTGAAAAACGCAGTGTGTTGTAGCTCAACCAGCTCTTACTGTATTGAGCTTTCCCTCAGGCTGTGCCTTCCCTCGTAGCTGAAGCTTAACAATTTAAATTGTTTGGAGTGAGCAAAGCTCAAAAGCATATATTGTGGGAATACCCTTCCAAGAAAGAATATGTGATGCCACTGAAAGTGCTGTTTGCTTTAGTGTGTAGGGAGTAAGAGATAATGAGGTTTCTTGAAATTAAAACACTTTAGGGTGTGGGGTTGGACTGATCTCCAGAGGTCCCTTCCAACCCCTGCGATTCTGTGGTTCAAGCATGGGTTTGTGTAATGAAATACAATTTTGAATGTCTTAAAATTCTCTGAGTAAATGAAACTGTATATTTACATAAAAAACCCAGATTATTTTCAAGCATACTTAAAGACAGAAATTTTGTTTGCTTAGAGGACAATTTAAATTTAAATTCTGAGTTGTATCTTAATAGCTTTCCTACATGTGAATTCTCTTTTAAAGGCATCAAGATTGTTGTACAGCCAGACTCTCAATCAGTGCTCTGTGGCCAGGTTGTCAAGCTGAGTTGTTGGGCAACAGGACATCCATTTGTACATTACCAGTGGTTCAAACAGAAAAAAGAGGTAATAATTGATAGAGAATATATGTGTATGTATGTATTTTTTTAATTGTTACTTAATTGTTAATTAATAACAATTACACAGACTAAACTGTGATACGGCTAGTGCTGAATTGGAATTTCTCTCCACATTTTTTTTTGAAGGCTATCGCTCTCAATTGTATAAAGAAAAGTTTGTTTCATCTTTTAATAAAAATAGAAGTTGAATAACTGCTCCATGATGATTGTATCAGTGTGCTAAAACAGTAAGGTGGTTCAGTGTGTTCACGGCACTCTATCCTTGGGTCTAATCTTGGAAACTGTAAGTTCAGTTGTCTAAGCCTACTATGAAGTTTCACACAAGCTACTCAGAAACCGCCAGAAAGGAAAAAATATCAGTCATCATTGGTTTTAGACAGATGAAAACTGGTTCAGTTCATAAGACTGAGCAATTTAAGGCCTGAACTCATTGGTGTTACAGACTTAAGTGTTGGAATGTATGTGAGCCTGTATCTGTGGAGTTCAAGTGGCAGTGCTTTTGCCCATGTTTCTTGTCTGGTTGTCTTCCTACAATGACTAATTTCAGGAAGAGTTTTTCAACCAGCTTAAAAACTCAGCTAAGGTAGAGACATATGAATCATTCCTGGAAGAAAATCCGTCTCTAAGCTGCTAAATGGAACAAAACTTTCTCATCCAAAAATTTTAAGCAAAGGACTTGAAGCTTGGGTTATGGACGCTGAATAAATATTCCAGTGTTTGATCCTTGTGTAGATTAAGATTAACTTAATCTGAATTAAAATATTTCTTGATTCATGTGTCACTCAGGTTCCCCATGGTAATTCTCCAGAACTGGTTCTGAATCCAGTGAAAGTGAATGATGCTGGCTTTTACATCTGTCGAGTGAACAGCGAATCTTCATTTACATTCAGTCGGTGGGCACGACTGGAAGTTTGTGATCTCCAGGGTACAGCTCATGGTGAGTGGCAGGGGCTTTTTACAGTGGAAACTTCTGTGCAGATTGCACCTTAAAGCTTGTTGACACATTGGGTTAAACTGGGTCTTTTTGTGTGAATTGCATCTTTGTGGGTTTAGTAAACGTGTTAGCTGCATAAGAAAAATCATAGTTATGCAGATGCATGTATGTAAGTCCATATGGATTATGGCACTGGCTTAAAGGTAAGTTTACTTCACTGAAGGCTTAATTTCCATCTGCAGCATACATAATGAAAGGATGGAAGTGGAAGAAGATTGAAGAGAATGGAGTAATAGCAGAAAACCAGTAGGATTGTATGGCTGTACACTCAATATTATCTAGCCAGAACTGGAATTTATTGTTAGTTGACTGATGTAGTGCTTGATTTAGAGATTGGCAACCTGCCTGTGGCAAGTGGGCTGGAACAGGATGATCTTTGACATCCCTTCCAATACCAGGCATTCTATAATTCTGTGACTGTAATGTGAATCTTAGAAATTTGCTTCTTGGATTGGGTTTACTAATACTATGCATTTATGTCTAGTTTCTGAGGTTGTGAAACGGTGTTCTTTTGTTTCTGGTTTGCTTTTTGTATATTTTCTTATAGAATAGTCAATAGTTTTAAATGAGAATAGACTATGTGCTAAGTCTACCTTTAAAAACAAACTAACAAAAACCTAAGCTAAATTATTTCATTAAATAGCTTGGCTTTGTTCTTGGCCTAAAGGTGAATGAGAAGAGCAACTAAAGAGTGCAGCTGATTTCTGCTCGTATCTTCACACTGTGAAGACTGAATATATTGTGTTGTGTCACAAGTCAGTGGTGTTTCCCACTTGAATCCTGCATTTAAAGATGTCAGGAAAACGAAGAGAAATGATGCAATGAAAAGCTGTTTCACTGTCCCTTGAAATCTGTGGAATCTGTATGAAAGCATACTCTGGAGATATGCTGATGGCAAGTGGAAAATGTATTCAAAACATTATTATATGCAAAGGAGTTGCAAAGAGGAATGGGCTGTCTTAATACTTAAAAGTCATAGGCATGAAGTAGAGTGTCTGCGTTTTAGCAAGAAAAGTTGGTTAGACGCTGGAAAATACTTTCTAATGATAGGAATAATTGAACAGTGAAATGAATGAAGTAGATAGACCACAGAATCTCCAGCAAATGCATATCTGCCTGTACCAGACATGGACTAGATGAATGTTTTCTATGATTGTATGGTCTATATTAAATTTTATGGCAGCCCTTTTCTTGTTTACTGACTGCCTTTGCAGGCTTTGCTTGACAATGTAATTAGAATAAAAATGTTATAGGTGTTATCATTTACAAACAGTGTTTCTGCTTGACAGCTGATTATCCAGGTAATTAGCAGAAATCACTTTCTTCCCCCAGTCCTATCCTCCCATCAGTTGGCCAGCAAAGAGATCTGACTTTTAAGAAATGGGATAGCAATTGTAAATTTGAAACCAGGAACCCTTGATTTGAATCTCTTGCTGTTAAAAGTCACAGATTTCTGTTAATAAAGAGTTGTTTGGGGCTTTTTTTCCCCCTTTCTAGAAATGAGAAATTTTGCATTCCGTGTTATCAGTGCTCAAGCTGAAAAGGGAGAACTTTTTTTGTCTTTAATTACATATGCTACTCATGAAAAAAGTTTTTGTTTTTTTTTCACTTTTGCTGTCTGAACAAAATATCTTTCCTATCATTAAACTTTCCCTCTAATTTTTTTCTAATTACCAGACTTCTACATTGTCTTTTCTACAGTGAAGCAAACAAAATCATGTAATGAAATTCTCGTTCCTGCATGCACACCTGCACACATCCTCAGTCTGTCCCTTGTCAACCATGCTTCTTTATATTTGCTCTTTTCTCTGAATCCTTTCTATAATATTTTTCTGTTTTGCAGCTGTGCCCATTTGTAATACTACTGGCAGGAATAAATGATGCATAGGAGCTTCTGAGGTGTGTTTTTGTGTATTCCTGTTTCACTTTTCAGCTGAAAAAAATGGAATGCAGTTGTGACTCATTATTAGCATACTCCTTACAGACAAGTAAATTAATTTCATTGCTGTTAGCACAGACTGTTCTAGTTTCAGGGACATGTGCCCATACATTATTTATCTCACTTTCTTTCCCCTCATTTTTTCATTAATTTTTGAAGGGGGCTTAATTGGTTTGCCTGAAAAGAAGCTGTGCATTTGTATTCAGCCTCAGCCACAAAACCTGACTGTGGGAGATGCTTTGGTATTAGAATGTGGAGCTGTTGGAAACCCAATTCCTCAATACCAGTGGATCAGAAATGGACTTCCCCTGGCAAATGGAAGCAAAAATGTCTACACGGTAAGTTACCACACAGTGCCATCCTTGTGAGATCGAGGTATTACTGCCTTTAGTCTACCATGTAATGTTTCCATGAAGAAAATAACTTCTTCATAGCGTTTGTAACATCTGTGCAAGTGCACAGCTCTCCTGCTCTGTTATTCCAATGCTGATGCTGTTCTCAAGCTCCAGGGTGCAGAATTATAATCTCAATGTGTTTGAAGTGGTAGTCATGGAGTGGAAGTCTACAGTACATTCTAGGTTGTTGACATAACGCAAAGATTAAGTACCAGTAAAAATTAAAGCATCTCGTTCTATCCCATACTGTAAAGCTCTGTGGAAGATCAGTTATATTTAGTACTTATAGCATCTCAAGCCTGTTGGACAGATATGCATTCTTTCTTCAATTCTCAAAAGCATTTCTAGAACGCTTAATGTAGAATAAGGTATCAGCAGCTGTTGGATTTGTTTAGGCTTTGCTTTTAATTTTTAGTGTTGTTTTTTTTTTTGAGGGAGGGGTGTGCTTAAAAGAAACTGATTCTTCTGGGGGCTGGCAGGATGACTTTCAGTTGTGCTCACATAGGTATCTTGTGTGGACATGCAACATGGGGGAACATACTGGTGTCATGTATTCAATAATGAGGAAGACCAGGACAGCAAGAAGATAGACGTCACTGTAGGTATGGAATTTGTCAGTTTTATGTAGATCAGCTAATTTATCAATTTCTTCCCTAGTATTAGAATTTATTTCTCAGACTTCTAGTATTAAGCCAAGCAATTAGCTGCCTGTATTTTTAGTTTATCTGTTGATTAAGATAGCTGTGCTTGATGGCATCAAAGGCAGTTTTATAGTTCTATGAATTGTGAAGTGCTTTCAGTTTTTATGGTAGGTAATATAAAGATGGTAACACTTTTTGGCCTTGCTACTAGGAACATTGGCTTGTCAACAGATGGAGAGCTGATTTCTTCATCTGCATGTTTTTTGACAACCAAATAACATCTTAGGCCTTAAGATTTCACTAAGATCTTTTACTGATATGAACTATTATGTGGAATTCTTCAGCTATCAGGTCAGATTAGATTATTCATAGCAAGTGAAGTGAATGGATAGAACACTGATTAGTGTATATGAATGTATTTGCAGTAAATCAATCAGGGAAAGATCTGTTTCTATAGCTTCCAGATATATCTGAGAATATTATTGCATAATTCATATGAAAATTTCTCGTTAAGAAATAATGTAGTGCTCCAGGATTGTATTAACAATTACTATAGATATCATAGCCAGTGTTTAAAGATTTATAGTGCTGTAAAATGAGCCAGATTGGAGGTGAATTTTGACTTCCACTTTGTGTTCTAACTCTCATAACTGAGAGAAATTGTCTTCCAATTCTCCCCCCTCCCCTCCCTTAAAACACAAGGAAGGAAAGCTATGGCAGTGGAGTGCACAGAAGGTAAAGTAATTCTTTAGTTGTGAATCACTTTTAAGAAATGAATGATGGGGATGATGGATTGTTGTGTGTTGCTGAAAAGCATACATGGGTTATGAACTTCACTGTGCTTTAAAACAGTGCTGGGTGATGGAACATTTCCTTCTGCATGTGCTTCTCTCTTCTTTGCCTTGAAATCAAGCTACTTTCTTCTGTAGTATTCAGTATTGAATATGTGTTGTTTTTGTGTCCTGCCTTTGATCTTTGTGAGATTTTTTTGGCTGGGCTGAGGAAGCAACATCCCTGCAAGAAAATCTGGGAATGTTTAGGAGACGGAATGACTTAAAGAGTTGGATAGAGCTCAATCCAGTCAGTTCTTTGTCTATGAGATGCCTTTTCAGCAACCTTATTAGGTTTTTTTTCTTTTCTCCTTTGCATCGCTGCTGTGCCATCAATTGATTATTAGGAATCTTGAAGTTTATACAATTTACACAGTGGGGGAATTTGTGGGAAAATGTAAGGTTGCTTACAGCAGCACCCTACCTCAAGCTTCTCTGTCAACAGTGAAGAAAACAATTGCATTTTCAAGGCACTGTACATGGCTGTCTGCTCTTCATTTTCTTGCAATCAAACTGCTGTGCAACCTTTCTTGTTCAAAGTTTAACAGGAGCCAGTGTTCTCTTTAGCCCCTTTTCTGAAAGTTTGACATTGTGAGGGTACTGTGTACTACAACATACAAGTAGCACAAATTTCAGTATCAGCCACTTCCACAGTTTAGCTTTTATAACTGTTTATTTCCTTAGCCTTAGCATCCTTTCTGGCTTGAGAAGGTTTCTGCAGGAAATAATGGATCCTGTGCAGAAGCCTCCTGGCTACCTGCAATTCAACCAGCCCTTGAAGCAGGATATAATCACTAAAACTGCTAGGGCCTTAGCACAAACTAAGGTTTGTTTGGATGCAAGTTTGTTCTGCTACTAAGCTACATTAAAACCCTTGCTATTTTCACTTTAGTTACCTAGAGTTTCCCATGTGAGCGTATGTGCCTGCATTTGTTGATTAAGAGGTCTGCTTTGTGCTGCACTGAATGGAGCAGGCATGCTCTGAGGGGCCTCGCATAAAGGACTCAGCTTTTCCATAGTTTCCAGAATTCTGAAAGAAGTTAACTGAAATCTATGGTAGTCTAGAATGTTTGAAAATTGTATCTGAAAATTATATCCCCCTGAATACATATGGTGTTACAAAGAAAGACTTCTTGCTCAGGATGTTGCTTTTTTAGCAGTCCTCAAACATCTTTTTTTCACTTGAGTGATTCTGATGTCTTATTCCTTGTTCATTCAAGCTGCTTGCATGCCCATGAGACCAAGGCATGGTGTGTTTCTCCCTTTGTTTTAGCTATATTGTAATGCTGTGTCTTGAGTATGTGGTTAACGTAGTTATCTTCTGTGCATGTGGAATAAGCATATGAAAGTTAGACTTACGGAAATATGAAGCCAAAAGTATTTTAAATTTTGTTCTAGCTTTTGGCTTCTGTTAATAAGACATGGCAATTACATATTTATTAATGAAATTCACATTTTTTGCTACTTTTTTAAACTTAATTTTATTGGTGTATGTCTCCACAGAAGAGCTAAGTGGTCTTCAAAAAACGGGTAAGTGACATGTTTGAAAAGCTTCAATTTCACATTACAAATCACAATTGCTGAGGCCTAACTGGGTCATAATGTTTAGTTTAAATTACTTGGTTGTATTTATAACTGAGATTTAATAGTGGCAGATACCCTGCTAAGAGCAGTACTACTTTCTGATTTCAGTAAACTAACCTGAAGATGTATACTGAACCACAGAGTTGCTATTGGCTCTGCAAAATCACACCAATCCTCTCTTTTACACTGTTTGCATACTTACCATGTTTACTTTTTCAAATACAGAAGGAATCTTTTGTTCTCTTTCCAGTGGCTTTGATGGACTCTTACGTTTTAGTGCATTGATGCTCTTTCAGATGATTAAAGCAAATAGGATGCAAGATACCTCCCTATCCCCAGTAGATTGAGTTAATATATTTCATAAATTCGTATAAATTGTTGTGAGCAAATGTGATTTGAAGCCTGTTTGATATTTATTATAAAAACATAGGCCTGGAATAGTATTCCCTGAGGGATTATCCCTGCAACAGTGCTCCTAAAATTTCAAATCACAATGTTTCCTGGATTAGACAGGAAAAAAAAGTTTACTTTTGCCCAGTGTTAGTCACTGAAAGTTATATCAGTATCATTGTCATGGTATACCTTATTGAGAGCTACATTTTGTGAGGCATTGGGCATTCCCACTCTTTTGTGAAGTACAAAATTAAAGAATTTTCACATATCAAATTGTCATCCCTGCTAAGTGTTCCCCTGTCTTGCATTTCTGCATTTCGCTGGGAGAGGATGAACTGTTCTGGACGTTACTGAAAGTGCTGATGTGCGGTGTGTAAGATTCAGAATTATACCCTAAGTATCTGTTATCTCTAAAAATTCATGACCTACTAGAGTAGGTGAAAGATAACAGGTAAATAACAGAAAACAGTGAAAGAGTAACTTATTAAGCAAAGCAGTAGTGGTGGAGTTTTGGGGTTGGAATGTGCTGTTCATATGCTGATGCTGACAGCTGTGACTGTACTCACTGATGATCTGTTGTAATCTCTTTCAAGCAGACCTACAGGAACAGTTCAGTGACAGACCTTTTGGTAAGTGCTTTTGTAGTTGTGACTTCTGCCATTGCTTGTGAAATAACTTTTGAAATAGCTGTCAGGAGGGAGGCATCTGTGTTTGTAGCCTTCTGTAGTGCTTGGTTGCCCTTTCAGTCGTAAGCCAAGATGAGGGCACCAGTATTTTTAGTGATTTGGTGGAGCGTCTACAACTTCTGGTCTGTTTCAGGTTACTGTTACAAATCCAGTTTCTGTGACCTTACCAAGTGTGTTACACCATTATTTTGAATGCTTCAGCAGTTGGAGATATGGCATTAGGATGATGGTAGTCTGCCTATTAAGGCTATGCTGTCCCTTTCTTTAGCTGTGCATGGTGTATGTGCAGCTCATTGAGGTGGATGGCAGATGTGTGATTTGAAGTATACCTGCTGGATTTTTATTCCCATTCTGAATTTTGCATGATAGACTTGACTGTGGCCAGGCATGCTGTCTTGTTGGTGCTAAACTGGTGGAAAGGCTGCAGGTCTCTGCCACAATCTTATCACTCTCACTGGTGTGAGAGGGAGTGTAAGCGCTCCCCACTCCTCATCCACCTTTTCCAAATTATTTGGAAAACCTGCTTCTAGTACTTTTACAGAAGTAGTGTTTTAGTATCACCATTCACATTTCTCCACTGTTAAGATGGTTTACACTCTTCAAGACTTTGCAGGTTTTCAGCTGCAAAAATGTTAAAAGCAAGTTAGGGATCTTGGTAAAGATAGTGAAATGTTAAATGTTGAGGCAGTGGACAGAGATCTTCTGTCAATGTGGGGTTACTGACATAGGCAGATTTGGGGAATGCATATGATTCCATTTGCCACTGGAGCAGTTGGGCTGTAATTCCTACTGAAGAATAGGGACAACAGACAAAACAGAGGAAAAATACCTTGCTTTGAATAAATGATTCTTACATCTGTTTAAGTAAAAGCTTCTACTTAAACACACAATATTTTAGAGAGATGTAAACGTAGGAGATGGAGATATGAAAGTGGTCTTTTTTTGTGTGGTGTTTTCTTTTGTGGTTTTGTTATTGTTTTTTAAGAAATGCAAGAAGATTTATTTTGAGGGACAGGAATTATAAGTGGCCATAGCTTTAGCAACTTGCCATAAAGACATTCATGTTCATTCTATTCTTGTATGAGGGAATTCAGTAACTGTCATGAATTGTGAAAGCAATGGCAGACATCCTTAGTGACTTGACCCATGTCTTGACAGATGGCCCAGTCTTAGCTGCATAGCAGCTCAGGTATGTTGATTGTCAGAACGTGCTGGGATGCTTCTTTGGTTTTTGGATGAGAATGAGTTTGGTTGCATAGTTGACACAGTATGACTTTCAAATATTATACCTCAGTTGAGATTGGATGTTATTTTTGCTTTGGAAGAAATTAAATTTAAAGGTGTTGAACCCAGGGAATACATTAAATGTGCTGTGCTGTTTTACTTTTTTTTTTTACTTTTTTTCTTTGTTTTTACAGCAACAGACAAGGTAGCTCTCTTAATAGGAAATATGAGCTACTGGAATCACCCCCAGCTCAAGGCCCCAATGGTGGATGTCTATGAATTGACCAATTTGCTAAGACAGTTGGATTTCAAAGTTGTTTCTTTGCTGGATCTTACTGAGTCTGAGATGCGAAATGCAGTGGATGAATTTTTACTTCTGCTAGACAGAGGAGTATATGGTAAGAGCCTGTGAGATTCTTTCTGAAGTACTTCAATTTTGTGATACAAAGTACACAAACATTAGCTATCTACTTCTGCCAGTTCCAAGTATATAACAAAAAAACAAACTTCATTGTACTTAACTTTTCACACTCTACTTACATGCTAAACACGAGCATTTCCTTTGACTTTGGTTAAAAACATTATTGTTACTCTATTATTGGAAAGATTTAATCTTTGATCTTTTTTCTTTAACCACGCCTAAAACTGCAGTGTACTGTTGTGTTTATCTGCCAACAACTGCTGCTTTGACAATATGCTGTGCAGAAAATGCACATTTATAGTAAGTCATTAGTACTGCTTTAGTAATCTTTTAAGCAAGAGTGGTCTGTTGTGTTTTTTTTACTATACTGTTGTGGTAAAGAGCTCATAGCAGAATACAGAATTACAGAATACTAACATAGTCTGTGCTGCTCTCAGGAGACCTCTAAAACACTTTTTTACACATCTTCTCTGTCCTCCTTCCCCCTTTCCTGTGTCTGCAAGTTGCTTTTTCCATTAAAGTTAACCAACCCCTTGGCATGGTCAGGCTGCATTTGTGCTGGTGAGGTGGGGAGCAGACCTAAGTAGAGCATGCAGTATGTTCTGAGCTTACTTTTGGAACTCTTCTGTTCATCTCCTGTCTTTCTACTGGATGTCTGCAGAATACTCTTTTCTTATGGATTTCCATCCTTCTGAAGCTCTTTGGGAGGGGCTGCTATGCTCTTAGTCCTCGCTCAGAAGATCTTTAAAGAACAGAGGAAGAGGTGTGCTTTTCTCTGCCTCAGCAGTAAGCTACATTCTGATACAGGTGTGTTGGGGTAGAGAGGGTGGGGAGGGAGAGCATCATAAGTCCTCTTATTTTTCTGCCAAGTGTTCAGGTTAAGTAGAAATCCTTGTTTTGAATTGCAGTTCCTTTCAGTTGGCATGATACTGGCCTGGCAACCATCGATTTCTTTATTAAATCCTTCACAGGGCATGAAGAAGCTCTGCTAACCTGAATTTCTTCAAAAAGCAAACTGAAAAAAAGTTTTTCTTTAGAAAGAAAGTTTATTTCTCTTCTTTATGGTCTTTAAAGAAATAAAATAGAGAAGAATTCATATTATCATTTCTAGAATATACCTCACATAAGGAAAGGCATTAACTGAGAAATTGATGAGCTACAGGCTTCAGTCTTTAATTTCTGCAGTTATGAATAATAAAGAACTTTATGACTGACTAACCAATCAAGTCTGGTATTGTTGCCACTACTGATATGCACTGACTCTTAGATTATTTGGTAAGAAAAAGAATATCTGGATAAGCTTGACTTTGAGAGGCAGAACCTGGTGAATGGCATTGGGAGGATGTGATAGAATTGATCCATTGAGCAAAACACCTTTGTCTCAGTTGGAAAAGGCCAAGAACAGCCTGACGTGGAGAATTAAAATATATATATATTTTTTTCTTTTGCTTTGAGGAGTGTGTTCCTGACTGCCTCTGTCTTTGTCATTATTTTTATGAAAGCTGACTGCATGGGTGTTGAAATTGAACAGAGGCCAGGAAGCTCACGCAATAGTATTGTTTAAATTGTAGAATTTTCTGTAGTAATGTCCAGCCAAGAAAACGTTATTCAATTCTTCTTTGGAACACAAGGTCAGATTATTTCTGACTTTTTTAAAATGGTGTGTTACCTGATGCTCTGTGGAGAACTGGCTGATCTGACATTTGGGCATTTATCTCAGAGCCAAAACTCGCATGACGTGAAGACTAATTATGGCAGTAAGGTTCAGTAGACTTTCTGGTAGCAGTTTTCTTGGTTTGTTCCCTGGGAATAGACATGCTTATGCGTCTAGGTGAGTTTTTAGATTCTTGCACCTTTTCAGTTTTTTCCTATAGTTGCTGACATGCACTGAGAAGATAAAGTACTGAAAGACATGAATGAGTTTCTCACCAACACAACATGAAAGCCTTTACGAGCATGTTTTTGTTTTTCTTCCAATAGGATGATATTTCAAAAAGGAAAGCAGAGCATTCTTTCAGTAACGTTTGAATATATATAAATCAATAGCTACATTGATTTAAATGGTTGCTTTATTCTTTCTGGATAGTATCTATTAATGTCTTAAAGCATATAAAAGATGCAGCCAGTCACAAATAGATAATGATTTATTGCATTTTTAGCAGGCATTGCTCCAAACGGAGGCATAGCAGCAACTCCTGTTTAGTCCTTGTTACACATACTCCTAATGCCTAATGTGACATTGTGTAATTGCTGCTTACTGCCAGGAAAGTGGCATTTCAGACATTGCTCCTTGAGAGCAGAACTTGTAAACAACGTGATGGTGATGGTCTCCTCTCATGTTTTGGTTTATGTTGTGTTAAACGTGACATGCAATTAGTGTTCTGTTCCACAAGGGATAAAGACATAGACCTGTGTATTTCACAGGCTAAAAATAGTTTGACTTTTTTTTCTTTAAAAAAAAAAAAAAAAAAAAAAGCTGCCAGTACCACTTAAATGCTGACGTCTGAAGAACCTGAGCCTACTTAAAATTGTTGTGCCCAAGTGTCTAACGAGGCCCTCCAAATATGTTTATTCTATGTATGCAAAGATTTATTTCTGATCTTGTTCTCAACGTATTAACTGTTGCAGGTACTTAGCAAAAAGGTGCCACACAATCATCCACTTATGGATGAAAATAAAAGTAGTTATTTCTGATATATTTCTGTTCACTGAGGAAAAGCACAAATTCTGTTCCTGCCCTTCCCAGTGCTTCTCCTACAGCAAAATGCATCTCTGTGCATTCAGTTCATGCTGCAGCAGACTGAAGGTCACTTCTGCTTACCTGATTTATTGTCTGAGTAGCACCAAACAATGTCTTCTGTGCAAATGGTGTTGAGGATAGCTGTCTGAAAACTGGCATGCTGGATGCTGCTCCCACGAGATGGGTTGAGTCCGACTGCAGCCACAGAGTTGGATGGAGTTGGAGATGATTCTCCTTTACCAGACATTTCCTTTTTCTGGTGGATGGCTGCTTATGTGTGCTGTCATTTACCTCTGCACTCCTGGTGGGGGACGGTGGACTTCAGGATTGCCCTCATTTAGCATTATCTCTGTAATCATAATTACACGTTGAAGAAGGTAACAGCAGTGAGGAATGATGCTTTCAGGTGAGCATCTGGACTTCACTGCTTCCTGCATAGTGTCTTAAAATATTCCATATCCATAGTGTCATTTTCTAACTCCATCAAACAAAATCCATCAAACAAAAGCAAGTTCTTAGGTCCATTGTTGGGAAACAAAGCGATGCAATGAGAAGGCAGTGGAAGTGGGAATAGATGTTCTGTTTTAACATAGTTCCAACTCATTAATTTGGGCTTGATTTGGACTTGAAAAAGTTAAAGTACTTCACAGGTGTTACCTTCATTTTGTTTCTGTCTCTTTTCTGCCTTAGCATAGTTTCATCAGCCCAGCCTTGCAAAAAGTGAAGCCTCTTCCAGTTGGTCTGATTATGTACTTAACTTACACTCAGTTCTGTAGTCTCAAGGATAACCTCAAGGTCAAGATCCAAACTCTGTGGAAGTAAATTTTAGGACATTTCATTTGCTTCAGATCTGATGCAGAATTATGCCCTTGGCACTTCATTTTTAACTCCTCTGAAACAAATCGTTAAGGATGTTGTAAATAATCCAATAATGTCATTATCATTTTTTTAGATTTTAATTACATGCTTAAAATTCAGAGCTCTTTAGACATTTACCTTCTAATTGAGTCAGGCACTTGTCATTTTCCAAGACCCTGTCAGATGAATAACAGCAAGGCTTTTGAAGTGAAGCCCCTAGCCCTGGAGCTTACCTTGTATGCACTTGCTGGCTGCTTATCTCGACTATGCATGTTTCCCATAAAAAGAAATTGAGCACTGCTGATTGAATGGAGCAGTTAGCAAGGTCTTGGCATAGTTGTTAATGACTTGAGCGCTTACAAGTAGAAGAGAACCTAGGGCTCAGTTTGAAGGGATAGAGTTATCTGATGGTATTCCTTTACAGAATGGGCAGGGCTGTGTGACACAAGTGCTTTCTTTTGCTGTTGCTACCTGTAATGGAAAAGGGAAGCATGTAGCAATTCTACCTACACAAGCTGACACATATTTTTAGTACATGTTTCAACTGGATATTCAAGTTTTATTACAATACAACTAATTTCACAGCTGCTTTTAGTAAAAATAGAGGCATAAGAAGACCACATCTCCAGTTAACACAAGTGGTATTTCTGCTGACTTGGGTTCAGCTGCAGCAGTGTTTGCTAGTTGAAGACCTGAACCAATGAAAAGCCTTAGAAAATGAATTATTAAACAAAAACAGCACTGGAAACAGACCATAGGAAAATTCCTTCAAATCGTTCTGGTATCTACTGGTAACAATTGGCAGAAGTTGTGAATGTTGAGATTGTCTAATTTTACCACAAGTTGCTGCAGTGTTAGTATTTGACATTTCAGTTCATATGTGTAAAACCTGAGCCCTGGTTTGTAGTCCCCTTTTCAGAATTAAGAACAGCTTTTCTTCAGATCTATGATATATTTTCTTTATATGGAACTGTTGTATGCATTTTGAAGACTATAAATCGTAAACTATGGTAAACTTGCATTCATCTTCATAAGTTATGCATTCATAAGTTAATAAGTGTTTAAAGAATTTTTTTAGTAGACATACATGAGTCATGGATCATGAAACTGTGAAGAGAGATAATGTCATCAACTAAAAATGGGCTGTTGGTAGTGCAGTAACACTGATGTGCTCTGGAATCCTACCAAATGTCATCATGGAATATTTTTTTCCCCACTAAATATGTATTTTTTGTCACTCCCAAAGCACTGTTACAGTGCAAGAGAAGTATTTCTCTGCTTGTTTGTTTTTTTCCAATTAAATTAATTTTAAAAACTTGCAGGGTTAATAGTAAGATAAAAAAAAAAAAAGTTTTAAAAGGGAGAGCATCTTTTACAGAATTAGAAAAAATCCAGCTAAACTCTTCAGGGTTATCTTTTTCTGTGTGTAGTGATTTCCTATGCAAAGCTTTGTATTTGCACATATGGAGAAGCTGTTTACAGTTGGCACAGTTCCTCATGTCTATCTGTGAGTTATATATAGTAGATAACATTATTTCTGTTAGAGGTCATAACTCTACTTGAAGCACTTGAAGAGTATTTAGCTGTCTTTGTGTGTGATTGATATAAATTTATAATGGATTCTGTTTCATGAGTGCAAATATTTTAATTGTCTGCTCATTGTGAAGTTGTGAAGCTGACTTTGCCCTTTTTTTTTTCCTCCTCACCTTCACTTCTTTCCTGTCTTAATAAAGCATATCAGTACCAGAAACACTGCTTGGAGTAGCTTGAAGGATCTCAAGCTCCCACAGAAACTTAATGTGGGGACAGAGCATGAAGTTTTTGACCACCTTAAAATTGATGGGCATGTTCCAGTGTAATCTTGAGCTGGTGTTTTCAGCCACTTCTGTTTTGCTCTCTCAGGTTTGCTGTACTATGCTGGCCATGGCTATGAAAACTATGGAAACAGTTTCATGGTTCCTATTGATGCTCCAAATCCCTACCGATCTGCAAACTGTCTGTGTGTGCAGAACATCCTCAAACTAATGCAGGAAAAAGAGACAGGACTCAACGTGTTCCTATTGGACATGTGTCGGAAAAGGTATGATGCTCTAGAGGGAATGCTGGACTTCAAGCTGGGGAGGGATTTTTAATCTGGGCTGTGTATTTATTGCATCTGAACATTCGTGGTTCTGAAAAATCACAGCCTGCCCCTGAGCTTTTCTAAAGTCAATAGAATTACTTTGCCTTTGGCCTTGGACAGATCTATGAAGCTGGTGATTAGAGTTTCCACTTCCATATGCAGATACTTGCTTCTTGATGTGAATGAAATTAATTTTTTCCTTTTTTTCCACTTCAGTTTAAAAATTTTAAAGTGTCAGTGGTTAGTAGATAAAAGTGAAACTAGGCATCTTAAAGAAGAAAAATCCCCTTTCCCCCTGCATCGTTAACCTTTATCATCATAGGAAGGAAGGAGAATCCACAACCAAAAGTACGTGGTTGGAACTTAATGATACTTGGAGTCCTCTTCCAACCCAAGCCATTCTATGATTCTGTGTTTATGTGACAGAAGGGTTCAAGTGGTTATTTTAGAACTCTTTAAGAGGCATGGATCTTGTGCTGGGATGTTTTATCTTTATTTAAAGATTTTAAATATCAACTTATTTAAAGAATTTAAATATCAACTAGTTCATCTTTTTTTTTGTCTAAACAAACATGTCAGGAGAATATTATGCCCCAATAAACTTACACTTGAAATTAGCTCTTCAGTCATCACTTCTTAGAATTGATCTCTATGGGATGTTTCATAATTGGAAATTGCTAGTTCTTTAATGTTTGTAGAGCCTCTAAACTTCACCACTGATGAAATGCCAGTGAATCACAGAATCATAGAATGGCCCGGGTTGGAAGGGACCTCAAGGATCATGAATCTCCAACCCCCTGCCACATGCAGGGCCACCAACCTCCACATTTCATACCAGCCCAGGCTGCCCAGGGCCCCATCCAACCTGGCCTTGAACACCTCCAGGGATGGATGGGGCATCCACAGCCTCTCTGGGCAGCTGTTCCAGCACCTCACCACTCTCACAGCAAACAACTTCCCCCTGACATCCAACCTCAATCTTCCCTCCTTCAACTTAGAACCATTCCCCCATTTCCCAGTGGCCCATTTCAGCTTCACAGTCGGCTGTGAAATGTGAAAATACTGCTACATAAGCCTCCTATTAACTCTAAGACATGTTTTGAAAAAGAGAATTCGTATAGTTTCTGTTGTAACATAAAATGCCTTGTTATTGGAAGCCATTTTTGCAAAGATTGTAACTGAGCTTGATACTGCTTAATGCATCGTGCCCATCACCCTGTTAGGTGATGTTGGACTGTCTCTTCACACTGTCTTTACGAAGAATGCTGATGGTTCTGATTTTTGTCATTAGCTGTCAGGATTAATTCTGGAATTGTAGGAGAAAAAAGTACTGTTTCTAAACTGTAGTGTCTTAATATTTTGAACAGCTGCTGTGGTTATTATTATGTTAATTCTCAAATCATTCTTCTTATGTTTTTGTGTATTTTGTTGCAGAAATGAATATGATGATACAATTCTCATCTTAGATGCTCTGAAGGTTACTGCCAACATTGTTTTTGGATATGCCACGTAAGGAAATCATTCTCCCGCTATGCCACAGAGATTCTGAAGTCAGAAGGAGGCTATTGAGATTGTATTGCTAATCTTTTATGGAAAATACCAACTGTCATGTTAAGAGACCAGTAATTTATATTGGTATCCTCAGACTTTCTTTTTGACTTCATTTTTTTCAAAGCATTCCACAGTCTGACTGTGGGATTGCATCCCCATATTTATTGTTCTCATTCAGATATAAGGTAATGCCAGTCAGAAAACTGCATTCAGCAAAAATCAAACTGCTGGACTTAGTTGTAATGGCTACTTGTAGAAATGTAAGAATCTCTACTAAGTTGCATTTAGTTAAATTTACGCAAAAATGTGAGAAAGATGAATCAGTTTTTGGAAGAGTGGCATGCAAATTGTCCCATGCTTTTCTTGCTTTCCTTCTAGATATAAGTAACAGTTACTTGGATTGAAAATATTTGAAGAGTTTACTCATACAGCAATCTGTATAACCTCTCTGTATTAGTTTTCAGGTCATGTACAAAAGCTATTGAATGGAAATAGTCAAGAGTTTCAGTGAAGAAATTTAAGCTTCTCATTCAAGCAGTTCAGTATCACCTTTGTTCTGTGGTTTGGTTATGAGTAAAATCTTGTCAGGATGAGTTGTTTGCAAATGAAAATGAAAAGCAGGTTGTCCTTAGACACAAGCTAGTTTTCAAGTGAGAGAATATCTTTCATCCATTCCCAAATGTAACTTTACCTCTTTTGTATTCATGTTGATCTTAATCATACAGTGCTGCAGTAGTTTTCCTTTTCATTGCCTCATATTGGTGATTTCAGGTGCCAAGGAGCAGAAGCTTTTGAAATTCAGCAGTTGGGATTGGCCAATGGAATTTTCATGAAGTTCTTGAAGGAGCGTTTGCTGGAAGACAAGAAGATTACAGTGCTGCTTGATGAAGTTGCTGAAGGTGAATTGCAGCTTACTACACTAACCATCTTCTCAGCCTGTCTTATTGAATACTTGTTTTCTTAACTGTGATTCTTCTCATGGCAGATGTATTACACTACTTCAAGCTATTTCATGTTTCACTGCTACAGTAATAGCTTTTAACAAGCAACAGGTGCTACCGAAGATCATGATATTATAAAGAGATCTGAGCTTCTTTAGTATGGTGACAAATTAATTTTATATTCTGCTTTCTAGTGAACCTTCTTTGTTCTGAGTCTTCTGCATGGAGCTGTGAATCATATGTCCATGAAAATTATTCGAATACTTCTTTTTCTGCTGGTTGCTCACTAGCTGCTGTATTCAGGGTCAGATTCACTAAGCTACCAGTCCTGAAACTCGCTGTTTTGAATCAGATGCCAGTATTTTTCCTTTCCTATATTTGTCTTGTATCCTGGGGTATTCTGTTAATGTTTTGGGGGGAAAAAAGAAACCCATAATCCACCCATTAAGACATCAGTAGTATCTCTGACTTTCATTCCACATTCTCTTCTTGTCAGTCTCTGCATTAAAGAGTGGAACAGATAACCACTTATATTTTTAATTGCCACAGACCAATGAGTTCTTCAGCTAGGATAAAATGCTTACAAATTGTACAGTGAACAAATATCCAGAAATGTTCTCACCCTCATCCTTCCTTCATCCTTTTTGGCATTGCTTTTGGGTTTTCTCATGTAGGTTAATATTATGTGATTCCTTTTTTTTTTTTAATTCATGCTTACTGTTCCCACATTAGAATACGACACACAATTCTACCAACACTCATTTTTCCTAAATCCTGTCTCTCTTACTTTGTAGCCTGTACTGTTAAGTTGGTGTCACATGCTATAGGTATCCTGACTTGTGACCTATTACTTATCTCATTCATGAACTAGAGTGAAGGACTTATCCCTCACAGGGGAGAGCATGAAGGCAGCTTCTGTTGGGACAGACTTAGCATGGAAATCTGTCCCAGCAAGGAGACAGGAGGGTGAGAAGGGAGAGGCAATACAGAAGGCGGGTGTTTCCTAAGAAATGGAATTGACAGTCCCTAACAGATCTGAGAGCAGACTAAACAAAATCCATGTACAGCATGTAGTGCTCCAGCTGCTTGAGAGTTCCATCTCATCAAAAGAAGAGTGCCTGCATTGGTTGTTTCAGTCAGCTTTGTGTGCATTTGGCAGTGTGAGTGAAAATTTCATCAGGCAACAGGACAACCAGTGTGAGTGTACCAGATATCAGGGGTTAGTGGGTACATAGGTGTACATGTGAAAAAGTTCCAAAGGATTGTTGACATTAAAAGTTCTACATGAACAAGCTGAATGGTGCACAGCATCAAGGCCTTCTGTTTCCAGCTCTGCCTCACAGTGATTAGATTTGGAGGTGTGTGAGAGGTTGGGAGAGAACAAAACCAGGCAGATGACCCAAGCTAGTCAAAGAGACACTTCATACCATACACAGTTATGCTTGGCAATACAAAGACAAGAAGGTGTTTAGGATGATTAGCTGTCATGTGCTCAGGAACTGACTGAGGATTGGTCTGCCCAGGGGTGGTGATGTGTGAGTGCGTTTGCATCACTTGTTTTGTTTTTGTTCCTTTTTTTCTACTTCTCCATTCTTTTATTTTTTTAAAAAATGATCCTGACTCTCAAGTTTTCTTTCTTTTGCTCTTCCTTTCCTCACCCTTTCCCACGAGGGGTGGGGGCTGTGTGGTGCTTAGCTCCTTTCTGGGGTTAACCCACAACACCTCATGAACAAAAAACTGAGAAATAAATACTTCTGAAACAGCAAGGTGATATGGAAATTCTTACACTATCATATCTGTAGCAGATAACTCTGCAGTGGTGTAGTTAATTTAGATAAAACTTCAGCAGCAGTGATTTTGATAGAAATAATATTGCATCTTGTTTTTAGATATGGGCAAGTGTCACCTTACCAAAGGCAAGCAAGCTTTGGAGATCCGCAGCAGTTTGTCTGAGAAAAGGGCATTATCTGATCCCATTCAACAAACCATATCTTCTGCAGAGTCCATGGCAAGGAACCTACAGTGGGCGAAAGCTCATGGTATAGTATGATCTACCTATAGGTGAAACTACCTGAATTATAGAGTTATAGAAATAGGATGCTAGATCACTTGAAGTAAACAGCTCCTTCAAAAATAAGAGGATGTACATCCTTGATTATCTCTAGTCCCTAAGCTGCAATTCAAAATAGAAATTGAAGAAATTCATATCACTAGTGTGTTCAGATCTTGGAAACTTCTGCTGTGTTTAATGTGTTCTGCTGTCACATTCAAATTTCCTTATAAAGTTATAGCTGTGCCTCATGGATATAGGATACTTCGTTGACTTTGCTAGTTTGATTGAATATATATAAAAACAAATTCTTAGGTCCATAAGCAGTATCATAGCTGTGTTGATTGTGGCCTTGCTCGTTGCACAAAGATTAGAAAGAAACTTGTGTAGCATAAGTTGAAAAATCAGCTCTATATGGCAGGTCTGTTACTTTCTGATAGTGCACTTAGCAAACAGCTGCTGCCTGGTTAGCTTGTAAGAGCTGCTTCAGTATGAAGGCGTGAGTGATAAGTAGAGGGAATGCAGGAGACAAGATCTAAATATATCTTACAAAACTTTCTAATATTTCAAAAGAATAATAAATAGAAAAATATATTTTTTTATTGAGAATATAATTATGTGTTATTTATTTGCAGAGCTTCCAGAAAGCATGTATCTTGAATTCAAATGTGGCGTTCAGATTCAGCTGGGGTTTGCAGCAGAGTTCTCCAATGTCATGATAATCTACACACGAATAGTAAAGAAGCCACCTGAGATAGTTGTTTGCAGAGCCTGTGTTACGGACTTCCCACTTGTAAGTGTTTCCTGTGGGTTTCTCAATGATCTCCCTCCACTGAAGTTGAGAACTGTCCGTTTCAAGTGCACCTTTTGTAATAAGCCTACAAATAGGAGGGGAATCAACTCTTTGAAACGGTAGATAACGACAGGACAAGGGGAAATGGTTGAAATAAGTTGAAGGAGGGAAGATTTAGGTTGGATGTTGGGGAAGTTCTTTACTATGAGATTGTCTAGTTTTAAGTGGTTCTATTTAACTTAAAGAGTGATTATCAGTAGCTCTATTTTGGACGTAGGGCCATCTACCTTACAGTATAGGACTTCCTAGAATTTATTTTTTCAGTTACTTCCACCTGGGTGATCTTTCTGCTTCCATCAGCATTACTCATCTCATTGCAGTAAGGCAAAGGATAAGAGTGAAACTGGAAATTCCTCAAGAGCAGAAAACCTTTTTGGTGTTTGTAAAATAGGACTCTTTTAAAAATAAAATATTTGAATTAATGTGCATGATAAATAGATGGTCTCTGTAGCCCACAAAGTTAGTGGTATGGTACTGCAAATTCAGAAGGAATTGTCAGCAGAGGGAGAGTAACCTACACAAACAATTTCTGTGACTAACAGCAGTTTCAGCAGCTTTTGTGAGTAATCCAATATTGGTGTTTTCTTTCCTTTTAAAAAGCAAGTGCTTTATTTAAAAATAAACAAACAAAAACCCAACCACTTTACTCCTAACTGCTTAATGATCTACAAATTCTGTACCTTCATCTGAGTTCTGCTGTCTTTCTTGCAATAGGACCTGGATGTGGATCCTAAAGAAGCCAATAAAGGAACTCCTGAGGAAACTGGAAGCTACTTAGTTTCAAAGGACCTTCCCAAACACTGCCTCTACACCAGGCTAAGTTCTCTGCAAAAGCTTAAGGTTATTATAAATTGTTCCTTGCAGTAGTCTAAATTAATCATGTTACTTTGCAGTTCTGCTGAGCTCATTGTATATTGTTTGCATGATAAGAAACATGTTCTGGAGATGTACAGACTTTATTATCAGATCTAAATCCTAGATTCTTAGAAGGAAAAATGATGAGTAGCAGTGTTTTAGGGACTTCAGTATCTTAAATGTAAAATAGTAGAGAATCAGTGTATATGCAGTCCTGGTATCACTGTGCAAGCCACTTTGTATTTTCTAGGCATATACTAAGCTTTGACAAGGTGGTTATTTTTGTGAACACCATCTCATGCACGTTATGGAGATGCTCTATGCCTTGCAGTACATTAAGAAAGTGACCTGAAACACAGCAGCATCTCACAGTGTCTTTAGAAGGAGTTGAAAATGTTATATAGTTTGATTCCAAGCTGTATTCTTGGACATGTAGTTTTTGAAAGGTTATCACTTCAGCTTATGGTAGCATTTTTATATTTATTTCTGTACCTTTGTGTCATGAATCCCTCAACTGGGGCATTGCTTGGCATCTTAAATGCTTTTGCAATGGTGTAATGGAAATGCTTCTAGAAATAAAGACTTGCAGATGAGCAAGTGAGGAAGTCCACAGTAAAATTCTGAGGTATTGTTAGGCAGTAAAGAGGACAGAAAGATTAATTTTAGTCTGTCCTCTAAAATGCTTGGAGAGGGCAGCAGAGGATGTTGTTTTGTTGCTGTGTTTGCCTGCAGCAATGGGAAATGAGAATATCTAGCCTGCAAGATGTCTTGGGTGCCCAGACTGCAACATGATTCAGAAATCCAATTTGCATGTCTTGTACAGGGACAGGTTAATTTGGTTCACCTGAGTTGTTAATGGAATTTGAAGCAGTAAAGGGAAACTGAACTTTGAATTAGCATGAAATGTAAGGCTCCTTTGTAACTCTGGTGATTAGCCCTTAGAACTGTGACAATAATCATGTCACAGAATCTCAGAATCACACAGAATGGCCAGGGTTGGAAGGGACCTCAAGGATCATGAATCTCCAACCCCCCTGCCACATGCAGGGCCACCAACCTCCACATTTAATACCAGACCAGGCTGCCCAGGGCCCCATCCAACCTGGCCTTGAATACCTCCAGGAATGGACGGGGCATCCACAGCCTCTCTGGCAGCCTGCTGTAGGATAGAAGCAGCTAATGTCTCTTTCATGTGGGTCAAAGAGGAAAATGATAGCAGTATTCAGAAGACTAAGAAAAGCGTGTCAGGGGTAGGAGATCTCTGAGTACGTCTCACAATTTCTGTGGGTGGAAGTTGAGTTTGCAGGAAGAGTTTTATGACGAGTAGGCTCCTTTTTGCAGTCCCACTGAGTTCTTAAGGTTATTAACAGCATCGTTCTGGAGCCTCCACCTTTCATGTATTTGCTGATGTGGTTACAAGCTTTGCCTAATATATTATGCCTTCAGCTCCTAAAAGAGGTTAGTCTTCACCTTTAGTAGGCTGTGCCTCTTGAAATGTTTCCTGTGTTGTTATTTGGGGAAGAAGTATAACCTTTTTTCCTCTTCTTTTACTTTTTATAGGAACACTTGATCTTCACTGTTTGCTTGCACTATGAGTATCCAGGAATAGAAGATACAATGGATGAAAGAAAAGAAGTTAATGTTGGGAAGCCCCTCATCGCTAAATTAGGCCTCCATCATGGATTCAGAAATAACTGTCTCCAGACCTGTTGTGTAGCTAATAATCTTTTTCATAGTCAAGTAGAATCAAGTCCTTTGGTAACTAAATACTACTACCCTAGTCGCTGCCAACCAAATTCCTGCCCAGGGGCTTACCATCCAAACTGTACTTGCCCAGGCAGCACTGGACAACTAGAGGCATGTTCTTGCAATGGGACTTCAAGAATGTTAGCTTCAAGACATGAAGTACAGAATTACTCATCCCCTACAGAAAAGAGTAATGTACCAATAGAGACCACTGATGATACTGTTGAACTGGAATTCCTCCTGTCTGATAGCCTCAGGTTGTCTAAGCAGCAGTAGCTGTGATGTCTTCAACAAAGATACTCTTTTCCGTTCTGAACAGGAGATCCTTCACACTGCTTACTCAAATTCTGGATTTTGGAGATTTGGGGATAAAGGGACTGGGGAATGTAGAGTTAGTACTGGGAATGAGGCTGTGTCTTGGGTTGGTTCATATTGCTCTCAGGGAAAGTTTTCCAGATCCAAGGAAGCAAAACTGGACTGATAGATTTAGGAATGAAATGGCATAATTTTGGGGTTTTGTCCTACCATTAAAGATTTGAAAGGTGGGGAGAAAAAAATCCAAACTCCTCAGATTCCTATTCCATGATCCAGCAGTCAAGAAAGTAAAGAACACAGGCAGTCTTGAGTCTCTTAGAGGAAGATTCCTATCTATGGAGGGAGGGAGAATGCATAGAAGCCAGGTTGTGGTGCCAAAGTTTCTCTTGAAAGTAAAGCCTTGGATCTTCCCAGCTGCTGCTTCTCCAGTACCTACTGAAGTTACAAGATTTACTGTAAGTAAGTGCTTTGTAAATAAATACTCAGTTTTTAGAGAGGAAATGCTTGTTCTCTGCAAACAAGCAAACTAAAAACATGCCTAGCTGTCAGAGGAAAAAAATGTTGATAGACTTAAGCAGGAAAATTATTTTCCATTTTCTCTATGATTTAATGTGATTTTTAAAAAATTCATTAACCCCAAAATGATAAATTATACCTTCCCCTTCAGTCTCAGTTTTTCAGTATCCAGAGGCTTCTTTTTACATACTGCATTAGAATAAGGTTTTGTGTTTTAACATGTTAGGACAACCTCCTGTTGGGTGTATAAGATGGCACACAGAGTAAACAAAGGCAGAGCTTTTACAGAAGTGAAAGTGTGGTGTTTTGATGTTCTGGTGTTAAGGATCCTTCAAGCTTCAATTTCTTTTCTTCCTTGTGTATTTATTAGGATCAGTCACTGACATTTCAGTCGTTTGGATCTAGCTCATAGTCAGCTGTTACTGCACTCTGCATTCTCTCCAGTGTCTCGCAGAAACTGACAGGTGTCAGGCTGTGCAAGGAAAATGAAACAAGGATGGAAAGAGGAATTGAGTAAATAACAATTTTTTTTTTGTCTTGGTATACTAGATTACAAATAGTCAGAGGGAGAAAAGGTCACAGGTTCATACCATGGTGCATTGCTCTTATTGCAGTGCTCTTTCGTGACGCACAAGGTTTTTGCTGATTGCATTTCTGCAAGGCTGGTCTTTTCCTGTCTTGGAAGAACACTAAATGCGAGGTGAAAAAGTGCCTGTTCCTAGCAAGCAAAGTATTGCATAGGTAACCAAGCTTCAAAATGTGCTGAGATACAAAAATGAATGGGTGAGATGACTGAGAGCTCTGGGGTTCTTCAGGCTGAAGTTCCAGGGGTGGTGTACCTGGACAGAAGCCATTGCTTTCTTGTGGTGATTGAAACAAGCAAGCAAAACCCAAACAGCCTACTCAGTTGTTTTCCAGGCCAAAAGAATTCATGTTCTTTCAAGTTGAGAGGATAAAGAAGTCTAACCAAAGAACCTAAGATGGTGATTCCAGCATGCCCAAATGCAACAAATAAAGCTCCTTCACAGTCTGTGCAAGCTGTGGGATGCTGGCTTCATGGTAGGGCCTGAGCTGTCATGTATTGCCCTGCAGCCTCTACGTGTTTGTGTTCTCTTTGGAGCTTAACCATGGAGTTCCATTCTCTCTAAACCAGATGTCAAAAAGAACCTTCTGTGTCTCATAGCCTCATAGTGTCACTAAGCAGAAGGCAGCTGGCCCTGTATTGAAAGGCAAGTGAGCTGCTCCCATGTGGTGTGCTATTCCTGCATTGACCAAAGAGGGCAGAAGGAACGAGCCTCTTCAGACAGTGCTGAGGTTTTTGATCTGTACTCAGGAAAAGATGGTTCTGCATACTGAACTATTTTGCATATTCAGATTGAATGGTTTGCTCAAAAAAGACTAATTTTTTAAATGTTTTGTTTACTTTGCCATGTATATCAGGGGGAGAATGTGAGAACGCTGATGCTTTATTAGGTCTTCAGAATAATTGATGCTTTGAGAGCATGGAAATATCAAGGGTGAGGTAATCACCTTTCCAGAGAGATTTCACAGATGGATAGGAGCCTCTCTTGCTTTGGTAATACTGTTAAGTGGTATTGCTTTAATTAAGATTGCCATCATAGACTCATAGAATGGCCTGGGTTGAAAAGGACCACAATGCTCATCCAGTTCCAACCAGCAGACCAGGCTGCCCAGAGCCACATCCAGCCTGGCTTTGAATGCCTCCAGGGATGGGGCATCCACAACCTCCTTGGGCAACCTGTTCCATCACTAAATAATCTTTTTTCTTAGACAAATTAAGTAGGTACCCTAAAAAAAAAAGTTGAATAATCACGCTGATGTAATGGACAAAGCAATTTAAATCTTCAGTTGAGCACCGAGCCTTCCATGGGATCTAAGTGTGCTGGCTGGGTGCTCTGTGTGCTCCCAGCAATCCCAGCTGAGTGTGAGCAGCACTGCTGGCCAGGTCTGCTCATCTCAACTGTGCTGAGAGGTGGGTGTGTGTACGTGGAAGTTAATGTAGTTATTTCCAAAATGACAGCTGTACTTGAACTGTTCTGTATATGAGTTTCTGATTTCTCCTTTGGAGAACAGTGAAATATTTATTGATGACTGAGATGCACTGTGCATTAATTATCCTATGCAGTATGCAGCTGGCCCATAAGTTAAAATACAGCTTGATGAATGTCCCAGTACTGTAATGTTATTTGGTACTTTGTCACCATTTTCTACTTTGTATGAGAACTTTGTTTCTTACTTCTGAAATAAACTGTTGCTCACAAGGTACCTGCGCAAGTGTAGCTGCTGTTTTCTCCTACTCCTCCTAGTTTAAAAAAACAACACTGTATTAAAACAACATACAGCAGAATTAGTTCCCTTAACAAGAAGGGCAGATCTGAATTGCAAGCTTCAACCGGAGATGCACTCACCTGCACCCTGCTCCTAGTGTGGGCTTCTCAAATCATGGGTTTGGAGTAGGGAAATCCTCTGTTAGTTTCCATGCAGTCCAGCTTCTGCCATCCCAGTGTTACTCCTGGTACTTCATCACTTCACAAGGTATCCCTCCTAGTTCTAGCCATGTTCTGACCACGTCCTCAAGAAATGCAGAGGAAGTCCAACTATTAAAGCTCACTGCCTGCATTTGCACGTTTGTTTGCAGGAGAGCTCTGCTCCTCGTGGCACAGGAGGGCGTCCAGGAGCAGCAGTGCCGTATGCAGCAGCAGCGTCCCAGCATGGTGAGCAGGCAGTACTGCAGCACAGCGCTCCGTGTCCCTGCCTGCAGAGAGCTGCACCAGCTCAGCCTGGTGCGTGATCTGGTGCTGCTGTCTGCCCCCCCCCACGCAGGAAGTGATCAGAGCCAAAGATGCTTGAAATGAAACTATTATAACATAGTAAAGAGAAGGGATGGGAAGGGGACAAAGCTCACCCCATGGCTGTAGGGTCTGTGGTAGAGATCTCTACCATTTGAGCCCTGCTGAATCACAGCACAATAGAATGGCCTGGGTTGCAAAGGAGCACAATGCTCATCTAATTCCAACCCCCTGCTATGTGCAGGGTTGCCAACCAGCAGCCCAGGCTGCCCAGAGCCACATCCAGCCTGGCCTTGAATGCCTCCAGGAATGGGGCATCCACGGCCTCCTTGGGCAACCTGTTCCAGTGCCTCCCCATCCTCTGCTGAAGAAGGGAGTGGTGGTCAAAAGACATTTCCTTGCAGTATCACCACCCTTAGGATGTGCTCCAGGTGATCTGGTCAGTGGTGCTGAGGGCAAAACATCCTGGTGCTGAAGGATGAGTGCAGGAGGTGAGCATTTCCTTTGGCTGAACTTCAAAAGTGAAGGGGGACTAAACCTGGGCAGCTACTGAAGCTGCCTGTGGTTGTGGTGCCCTCTCTGAACTAAAGCCCTGGGTTTTGTTCTTCTTTCTTCCTGGAAGCTGATGGTATAATCATAATATCTCTTTCAGGCTCAAATTAACTGCTGAGTTAACTTACCGGCTGCTTTACCCACAATTGTATGTTTTTGCATTACTGATTTATGGTAGTCGTTTATCTCTTGGCAGCTGAACATATTTGGAAGTTGGGTTTGAAGGCAGCCCAGATGGGTGTGAGCCAGTCTCAGGTTTGTCTGGCAAAGGGAAAGTTCATGCTCTTTGGAAAGGCCAGTGCTCTTTTTCTGTTTTCCCTCCCCAGTCTGCACCAAGAGAAACTAATTCTCATGCAAGAAGCCAAGCTACTGAAGCACCAAACTTCTGCAAGTAATCCTCAAATGAGAGAAACGGGAGCAGGAGAGGCCGGTGAACAGTGCTTTCCAAAATTACCTCCTCGGGATTCGTTTGGTCTCTGGCGTTCGAGCCCCATGTGCTGCGCAGGGCTGTGACCGCAGGAGGCAGTGCTGGCACACGGTGCTGAGCCGTGCCGAGCGGCCGAGGGAGAGCAGCGCCGGTGTCAGCAGCAGAACCTGGCATTTGCTCCCGGGTGAGCATCTTTCTCTCTGTCCGTCTGTTTTTTTTCTCTTTCTTCCCCACGCCGTGTGAGTTCTCAGAGCTCTTCTCCCTCAAAGCGCTCCTGAATAGCGCTATGAAATTGTGATGCTGTTGATGCAGATCTCCTAGTTACCGCCTCAGTAAAGCAGCTTTGTACATTAAGAGTCCTCAAATTGTTCTCATTTTGGCCATAAAAGACATCTGCACTGCGTGACCCTCCCCTGTCAGGTCAAGTCTCGCTGTGTGTAGGTGTTACTTTTGTTCATGCATCATCCATTTGCCTTCACTCTGTGTCAGCTAATTAATACTTCGGCAGCTCTGACATCCATGAAGTCTCAGGGCTGAGCTCATCCAGACGTGTTGTATCACAGCCATCAGGGAAATACTTGGCATCGCTCCTCCCTCCTCGCACAGGATCTCAATTCAGTGAGATCTGCTCACTGATAGGAATGTGTGAGCTGTGGGAGGGGGTTGGGAATTTGCTTGTTTCTTTGGTTTTGTTTGTTTATGTATTATTGCAGTAATCACAGTTGTCTAGGAGTGGAGTTAGAACACACTCACGTTATGAAAACTAAGCACTTACTAAATTTCTAAGGCACCACTGCTGCAATTTAGTCATACCAGGCTTATTTTAGCAGCTGATAAGAGCTGCTGTCTCCCATCACTGTTGTTGGCATTCACAGGGAGCATGAGCTCACTGTTCATGCACTGCCACAGCAACACCCCACATGTGCCTCCATCACTCAGAAGCGCTGCAGCAGGGGCAGGAGTAAAAGACTGGGACTGCCTCATCCGTATTCTCAGATAGAAATAATTTCAGTTGTTTTGTCAGCCTCCACTTTTGTTTTTCAGAGTCACTTGAAATTAGCATGGGAATTCTTCACAGTGCAGAACAGCACAAGATCAAACAGCCCAGATGTGTTTCCTGGGCTTTGTGATGACGTGGCTTGGTGGTTAGGCTTTATTTCATCGCTCTGCAAATCAGGCAGCTCCGTTTTCTGGCATCCTATCCTGCTGTCATGTAACGTGCACATCAGCACGTCATCCTGCGGTTGTGGTCCATCACCTGGAGATACCCCTCTGCCTGACCCCTAAGGAGCCGGAGCTGCTCACAGCTGTTCCTCTCTGAATGTGCTGTTTTCAGTGCTCACGACACTTAATCTGGTCCCAGGGCTGTTCTCTGTTCATTTCCCGTCTTTATGCCTGCCTTTGCCCTACTCCTTTCTTTTCCCTTCTCTTCAGTGCCAGGAATACCAGAGATTCTGCCACCCAGGATCAGCCGGGGATGTGCAGTGCAGTAATGTTTAAGAAATGCTCTGAGATTGTTGGGAAGTACCAAATGAGGGTGGGTTTTGCTTGTTTGCTTTCTCTAAGACTCACTGCTGTCTTTCAAGGAAGTGCAGTGTACCTATGAGATGATGACTTGTTCGTTCTCGAATTTTTGTGGGTTTTGCTTTATGCCTGTCTTAGAGATGGACAGAAAACTGCTCCAAAACCAGCACTGAGAGGAAACCGTGTTATATGAAACACTCACTAGATTGCCATCTCTGGCCATAATGGAAACATTTTAATCAGAAAATAGCTGTGCTTTGTGCCAAGACTTTTACCTGTCCTGGCAGGTGGAGAACTGCAGCTCTTTGCACACTGCATTGCAAGCACATCTGTGATTTGCTGGGTGAAGGTGAAGTGAGTTTGGCAGTACATAAATCCGAGTAGGACTCTCATTGGATACTGCAGTAGAAGACATTTCTGTGCACCATCTTCACTGGCATAATCCCGGTCATACGCAGCAGCCCCCGACATGTTAAAATACACTTTTCTCTGATGTATGGAAGCAAACTACTTGCTTGCTCTGTTTATGAATCCATAGCACTGGGTTGTGCTGTGTTGCATGAACTTTGCCATACCAGGAGAGAGCATTATGAGAAAGGAACAGTCACTGCACTGTGCTTGTACAGCACGACTGAGTGTTATGGTGCGCACTGTTCTGCTGGGATTGCTGGCACAGAGTGTTCCTGACGCTTTCAGGAACATGAGGTGATCCTCCTTGCAGTGT